TCAACTGGGTGATGTAGAAAATCTCTAGAGGCATCCAGATCTCCTTGACTTAGAAGCTTCATTGAGGACCTACTGTGTACCAGTCATGCACGTGTGTGTGTGTGTGTGTGTGTGTGTGTGTATTTGTAGCTTTGTGAGCCACATCTAGGATGACATATCTGACTCCCGTTAGAACTGACATACAGTCTCCTATTTTTTTTTTTACAACAAATTGTGCAGCAGTGAAAATCCTACTTGACATCTTTTTCTTTGTCATTTTTAATTATCTTTTCATGCTTTGATGACATGTAATGGACTGCAAATACATGCAAAATAGCACATAGGACAAATCAGATACTGGGAATGATTAACCATACATTAAATGACTTTTTTATGTTCTTTTTAAATCTGAATAAATAACTTTGTATGGAAAGGAGGGAGAAAAATGAAGTGGACATTTTTCTCTATGTAGCACTGGCTGTCCTGGAACTCACTCTGTACACCAGGCTAGCCTCAAACTCACAGAGATTGGCCTGCCTCTTCCTCCAGAGTGCTGGGGTTAGAGGTATGCGTCACCACCACCCAAATGAAGTGGATATTTTTAAATGTTTAGTGATGTTTTTAAAAAGTAAAAGCAAACATTGTATTCACTGCAAGTCAGTTCAGTAAATATATGTATTAGGAACAGACTTGTCACTGGTCTGGATTCTCAATCAAGACAGAAAGAAAGGAAATGTTCATGACATAAAGATTTAGAAACAGTAGTAACAATAGAAGTTAGGTCAGTACCTTAATTTAAAAAAAAATAAGATAACCTTAGGAAATCTTCCTTAACAATAAGACCAGGATGATTCCAATAAATGTCTGTCATTCTTTTATAAACGAAATATGTTTGTATTCTTAAGAGAAATATTTTCACAAGCACACAAAGGCAGAATGTCTACCTTTCTTACAGTAAACACCGAGTAAGGTGTTTTCCTGTGTAAGAGAAAATGATTCCATGGGGTTTACGCTTGACAAGACAGGAATGAACAAATCATGTAGCATGCCCGGCACTCCAGTAACACGCATGCACAAGAAGGGAGCGGCCCTGAAGCCTAAGCCTGGTGCTGGCTCCTGGCCTAGGTGGACTTTCTTCCCTGTAGTCTTCCTTCCCATGGCATAAAAGAACCCGTTACAACTGCCAGACAATCCATGAGCACACTTGCAGAAATCGAGAAAAGACTTACCGAGCTTTCCTCTCCTTTTCTCTCTGTAATCCAGGCTGGCCTCAAACTTCAAGGGTAGAGATTACAGTCATGTGACATTACAGTCATGTGACATTCTCTTCAACTTTACTCCCTTTTTCTTCTTCCCTAAAATCTGTAGCATAGTATAGATCTGATTATTTAGAACAATAAAAAAATGCAAAATATCCATAATGTGTGATAGACTGTATATAATTTTATATATATATATATTATATAATTCATTGGAGTATATAATCAAATGAATCAAAGCATGTAAATAATACCTTTTGAATATAATTCCACCTTCAAAATGTGGGCAGTTCAATCGTAAGGCCTGAAAGGAGGAGGCTGGGGAGGGACAGGATGAGAATATACACACAGGTGCACACAGACGCCAAGGTGGAAGGCATATGACATGGGAAGAGTTCTTCTGGTCTCAGAACTGTAGGCAAATGTGTTTGGCTTTACCCTACTGTTTCCCCTCCCTGGCATCAACCTCTGGTACTGCTTCTCAAAGGCAAATTAGAATTCACTCTTATCACTGAGCTCCCAGACTGCCTGTATTTAGTGGCCATGTTCTACATGGGATTGACACATCAACCCATCGGAGGGGAAGTGTCTTCAGCTGCAGGACCAGAGCATCAGTGTGTGTAGCCCATTAAGCTATGTATGCTCTACTCACGGAATACTGGAACCACTGGGGCAGTGTGGGCATCTATCCAGGGATCTCCACCTGGGTGGGCTAAATCAGTACACTCTAGTGTGGGTCTCTGATATCAGCTTCTAGAAAGTTCAGTTTTAAACAGCTCTCAGCAGGGCTCCTCATACAATACCAGGTTATGACTGGGCAAGATGCTTCTCCACTTGGGGCTTCAGAATTTGCCACAGAACCTTTTGAAAATTTAAAAGTACATTTATCCCTCGACTTTCAAATGGGAGGATTTTGATTTTAAAGAATGCAGTCATTTCCCTGTAATTTTTTCTACCTCTTTGAAGTTGTCTTTCTTTCTTTTCTTTTTTTCTGTGTTATCCCCTCAAATTGTCCTACCTTGGTATTTCACACGTTGCTTCATTTTCCATGCCCTGCAAACGTGGGAAGTTTTGTTTTCATTGTGTTTGCTCTGTTCTTGGCTTACAGCAGCTACTAAGGCTAGCTGCAGTCTGATGTACTTGTGTTCTGACTCGGAAGTGCTCAGTGGGCATGGGCCTCTGTGGTAATCAGGTGGTTCTGGGGAGCTGCGTGAGTGGGGGTTACATGATAAACAGACAAAAGGACCCTCAAACAGACCTTCAAACAGAACAACTTACACTGAGGACAGAATCATAGCAGCCAGTATGAGATACTCTGATGAGAAAGCTGTGGATGCCTCTCTGTGGTGTGTTTTTAATGGTTGACTCAGAAACAGTTTTTACTTTATCTGAGGGAAACCATTTCGAGTAAGCTGTCCTTTCTGGAACAGCCTTTCTCTCTCTCTCTCTCTCTCTCTCTCTCTCTCTCTCTCTCTCTCTCCTCCCCCTCTCTCCTCTCTCTCATTCTCTCTCCCCTCTCTTTGTCTCTCCTTCTGTGTCTCTGTCTGTCTGTCTCATTCTTTCTGTCTCTCTCTCTCCCTGCCCCCGTCTCTTTCTTTCTATAATAGCCATTGAAACACAAATGCTTAAAATAAATTCTTCGAAAAGCCCCAGTAACTTATTAACCGGAGCAGGTGCAGCCCTTGTAAAAGTTACCCCATCTCTCCTGAGGCCACTGGGAATGGGATTTTCATCTCACACATAACATTTTTATATTTACGTAAAATATAAAGCATAGGTGTTATATTTAGCCGTTTACAGATGTCTCGAAGGTATAAGGGTTTAAATGAGGGTTGCCTTCTGAAAGCGGAGTCTGGCGGTTCTGGAGTTCTGATGTGCTAGTTGTACAGTCAGGCAGTGGCTCTCTTGACTCCTTGGCTTAATACCCCGACTATTGTTTGAAGTTGGCTTTCGCTTGTTATCATTACCGTTTTGTTGGAGGGGGGGGGTCTAGTCTGGTATATTTGGGGTACCCACCATTTTGATGCTCTCTCTTCTCCCCCTCAGTTTACTTACCAAGCAGTCATTTGACAGCCCGGTCCAAACATTTCACTAGTTTGCAGCTGCTGGACTCGTTGTAGGCCATTTGGTTGCAATTTAAGTACCAGTGGTTTAAACTGTTCTGGAAAATTAGGCAAACATACACAGTCTGTTCCCTTTTGGATCACACTCATATGAGGCCCGATAGGTAGGCATATTTATCATAAGGATAAATAGACATGCTCACTTTGGATCATTTCAGGACAAAGTTTATCTCATGACCACGGTGGATAAACTTTATTTTCCCAAAGAAACATTTTGAGGTGAAGTAGAAATCACTAATGTGGTTCATACCAAAAGGTGGGATGTTATTGCAGATAAAGACCTATGGTAAGTCATCTTAAAACATCTCAAGTGACCAGTGATGGGAGACTGCACCCCTGCAGCCATTCTGTTTCAAGCATTTGGTACAGTATTCTGTACATTATGAGACCTTTAGTAAGGGAGCTTTGTGTTCAATGAGTTTGCCCAACCATAGGCTCATATCAGGACTCTATCCATGTTCCATACAGGCTGAGCTGTGATACTTGGGAGGTCAGATCAAATAAATGTGCTTTTGATTTCTGATATTTATTTCCAGCTTAGGATGGGTTTATCTATAACCTTACCTTAAGTCCAGGAGTATCTGTATGCGTATCTGCCTGAGGTTAACCTGGTGTTTTTGTTTGTTTGTTTGTTTGTTTTGTTTTTGTTTTTTTTTATCATGATTGTGTGTTTTTAACCTGCATCCCTGTTTCTGGGCGTAGTTCAGAAGGTGCACTCAAACTAGCTAGAAAGGAAAGAGGGAATCCCTGAGTGTGGGGGTGATAGAGTCCCAGGCATTCTGTGCTGCGTAACTGGTTGGCCTGCTTTTTGAGTCACTGTGTCCAGTTGCATGCTCTTGTCCTTGTCTTGTTGGGTTTGCTGTTCCTGGCCCTGGGCTTTGGATCTGACATGGATCTCTGGATCTCTTCTTCACTTCTGGATTGTGATTCTTCCCACCAACATTGTGCCTGCCCTTTCTTTTGGAAAGGCTTAGTTTGTTTCTTATACTCAGACGGCCCTCTTGGCTCTGTCAAGGATGGCCCTTGTCATCCTGCAGTCTTCCTGGTGAAATGTGGATAGACACTCTGTTTCTGTAGATCCAATCTTCAGAGAATGCCTTTTGTGGAAAATGAGCAACCAAGCAAATTCAAGGATGATGAAGTCTTTCAGATCTCATATGCCTTGAGTGTGTTCTTTAAAGAAACAGAATAAATTAATCTTATATTCTAAGAGTTTTTCTTCATAACTTACAGCTATTCTCTGCTAATTATGCTTCTGATTTCTCTTGAGAACAATAACATGAAAAACTGTCTTTAGATTTTTACATATGTAAATTTATGGTAAAGGAAAAATGTTTTCCTTCTTGAGTTATCTTGCTACATTTCAAGGCATACAAGTGTTGAAGTATTACAATTCAGAAGTCACCATGAACCATAAACCATTTACTAATCTGAGAAACCCTTTTCTCCTCATTTTGAGTGTATGTTTAGATGTAACTATGCCTTACTGGCAAAGGAGTAATTCTTCTTTCTTTGACCATTGTAACTCAGCCTCTATTTACCCTAGTAACCCTTAAAGGTGAGATTTACATCTGAACATGAAGGATGAATGACTAACTGACTAGATGTCCAAGCTGTAACTTCTGCTTTTTAATCACAGAGTTGACTCCTGAAGAGAGAGCCCAAAAGATCGCCAAAGCTATGCGCAAACAGTCTTCTGAAGTCAAGGAGAAGTGGGAGAGTCTAAATGCCGTGATGAGCAGCTGGCAGAAGCAAGTGGGGAAGGCGTTAGAGAAACTCCGAGACCTGCAGGGAGCCATGGATGACCTGGATGCAGACATGAAGGAGGCTGAGGCGGTGCGGAATGGCTGGAAGCCCGTGGGAGACCTGCTCATAGACTCGCTGCAGGATCACATAGAGAAAACCATGGTCAGCACCATCGCCTTTGACAAAGAATATTTAAGGAATGTTTGGTTGCTGCATAGAACACAAATAAAGAGTCCCACATATAGGAGTCATTATAAGGGATTCTTATAAAGCTAACACTGCTTCAGCTCCCCACCCAAGTCAGGAATTACGGCAGATGTTTTCCATATGTGCCATTTTCCCAAAAAACACTGAGGTGGCTTTTATGATAATTCAGTTTGTTTAAACATTTTTAAAATTCCTGTTGAGAATCCCTAAATAGCTTAGATTAGGTTTACCTGTTTAAAGCAAAACCAAACTTTTTAATTTCACTTTGTTTCTCAATATGCCCTCCATTTCACTTTCTTTGTTTCCTATTCATTTGTTAAAGAAATTGAGTGTTTATTTTGTAATTATTCCCACAGCCTAGATTTAACAGAATCGTACCCATGTGGTACAGCCTACAGGTTCTGTCTCCTAGACACTGGTGGTTGGATTTAGAGGTTTAATAAAAAACAAACTGCTTTCCCAGGAATTCTCATCTATAATTTCTATCTTATTGTCTTGAGTAAATGAAAAATGAATTTAGTTATAAATTCCTTTTGTAATCGGCAGTTGCCCAAGGTTAAGGATATTAGTTCTATGGTGTAAATCCACTTTGGTTACTTGTATTCTGTAACATCTTCAGGAAAAAAAAGCGATTAAATTTAGGCAGTAAAAGACATTACAACTTTAGAGTATAGCAGGGTGTGTATAGTCATGAGTCATGCTGGAGGATGAGCCATGAGAATCTCAGGACGGATGAGTCCAATGCCATCTATCATGCATGGAATTTTTATTGCAAAAGGTACACACATCTTTTGTTCATAGACACTGGATAACATTCTTCCTTTATATGAATGTGGCTGAGTGGAAAGAAAAGATCTGGGAAATTAACTTAATACTTGGGCCAGTTACACAAGTAAATATCTGAATATATAGACATAGGAGTAGCAATAACTAGCATTTATTTATTAAGGCTTATTATTACATGCCAAGAACTGTTCCTAGTCAGTTCATTTGGATATCTCTTTTAATCCTCATACCCTCCCAACAAGGTAGGTATTATTTCATGAAAACAAAACCAAAGCTCAAGCCCACACAGTTGGTTAAGTGGTAAAATGCTTGTGACTAATGTCCTTAAAGTTCTTCTCTTTCACTACAGAGATGTCTTTCATCCAAATGGTGTTAAACACAATCTTGACCAACTCTTTGAATTTAAATCCTCTAAAATTTAAACACTTTTCAACTTAAAACTTTTCAATTTAAAGCAAGTGTTACAAAGAATATTAGTGTTAGCCATTTTTGACGGATGTGTTTCTGGCTATTCAGTGAATTAAGTAGGCCTCTCCCAAACCCATAGCATCCTAAAATACATTCCTCTGGATACATGTGAGTTTAAAATAGTCTAAGAAGAACATAAGCATTAGTTGATCAGCGCAGCTTTTTCTAAAACTGAACACTTCTTATATGTTTTCTATTTATTTTAGGTGGTGTAGATTGTATTCGAGGCCTTCAACATTTAGGGCAAATACAGCACCATTCAGCTCTGTGCACAGTCCTCCTTTTACTTTTTATTTTTAGATGAGCTCTTTCTAAGGTGTCTAGGTTAGTCTTAAACTCATTTAGTAGCCCAAATAAGCCTTCATCTTGCAGCCTTTCTGCCTCAGGCTTCCAAATACCTGCGACTACAGACCTTAGCTACCAGGCCTGGCTTAATTAATTGTGAACACTGAAAAATCTTTTAGTGTTTTACAATATGTGAATAGTATCAAAAACAACAACAACAACAAAATGCTTCTAGATTTGAGTGGGAATTTACTCATGTGAATTTGAAAGTGTCACTTTTTTAATTTGGAATGATTAGTGTTGAGAAAAAGAAAAATTGATATCTGGCGAATAAAAAAACCCAACAGTTTGGAAATTGTTAGTCTTATTTAGTTAAAGGAATCACTCTCCTCTCCAGCCATATCCCTTTGCTCTTAATCTACTTAAGGGAGAAAAAAACAACAACAATAATTAATTGTCGAATGGGATATAAATTGGATTAAAATACTTTTACATTTTAGGAAGTAAAAGATTAAAAATTCAAGTCTCACTAAATAGAATAAATTCAATGTCTGTGATATTTTGCATGTGCCCTAAAGTATATCCCATAACTAACTGAAGCTATATGGGGAGGGAGAGATGAAGTACTAGGAATTCCTAAATATTAGTAAATTCGTCAAAGCAGGGCTGGAAAATAAGATCTCGAGGAATAATGAAATCATTTCAGTTGCTAAAGTTATCTTTAATAATGCCGTTTTCTGCGTATACACCTTCTGGTTGCAGACGGCTTTGAGACGCACACCTGCCAACAGTCTAACGTGCACCTTTGATAGTAGCAGATGTTTCTGTTTTTACAGCAACGAGGGCCACGTAGACTCTTATTCTCTCATAGGAAAGTGCAGTCAAAACATGATAAATTACTTCTTTATACAAGAACACATGGCAGTTCTGAAGCCATTTATAACTCGATTTATTTCAAGTCCCTTAATTTGGAAAGTCTTAAAAGGCGAAAGATAAACTTCCTTGATAGAAAGGTTCCTCGTTGCCATAAAACACCTCACCATAAAGCGAAAACAAAGCCAAAAAGACTTTGCCTGTCAAAGCTCCTTTAATGCTTTCACCTATGGCTTGTAACAGTAAAAAAAAAAAAGATTTTTACACATTAAAAATGTAAGCTTTTTATTGTTCCTTAAGATAAAAAAAAAAAAAACCCACCTGTCTTGAAGGTATGATCTAATTCTAAAACACCTTTACCATCTGCTAAAATAAATTGGTTATTATATAACAATTATAAAACTATTAAATAGCATGTTGATTTTAATCTTTATACCTAAAAACTAAAAGGATGTTGATTTTAAAACCTGGATCCAGTTTTGGGGTCTTTGTATGTAACCATGAAAAAGAGTGTTATTATATCAAGCTGAAAGCATTGGTTAAAAGCCTTAGAAACATTTGAGTTCTAGCATGTGTGTCCACCTGGGGGAATCTGGATTCCTTCTGAGTTTATGCTGAAACGCTCTCTGTCCCTCACGTCTTATTAATTGTTAATCCTTTGCACCTGTCAGGCCTGTATCCCTGTGACTGCATGTCTGCATGTGCACATTGGGCCATATTTGGATGTCCAACACCGGTAGGGATAGATAAAAACCACTGCAAATCAACATTTTTTTCTCTTCCCATATTGGAACAGGCCATGCATCTTTTGGAGCTTCCTTTCTTCTGTCTTCTTTTGACTCATTGGTATCTGCTGAGGTCGCAAGTAGGTCGTACTAAACACCTGTTGATGTCCATGGATTCAAATGTCATTTATACACTACTGTCTCTGATACCTTGATTTTCCTCACTGGTTTTAGGCTCTAGGTCTCTTCTGGTGGTTTGTTTTTCACCTCTCCTTTGGACTTAACCAATTTTGGGTCAAGAATTTTATAACACGAAAGTACATTCTGTGATTTACCTTTAAAAAAGTTGATTCCTGAATATTGGGTTTTAGCAAACATTATGATTCAGGATAGATTATAGGGGGGGCAAAATTTTATCTCTGCCCTCTTGGGAGAGTATTCATCTGATCCTAAAATTCTGAAATAATACAGGATAACAAAGGTAGATTCTGTTCTTTATTGTAACATCAGAAAGAAGCCTGATGAATACTGTTCTCTCTCTCTCTCTCTCTCTCTCTCTCTCTCTCTCTCTCTCTCTCTCTCTCTGTGTGTGTGTGTGTGTGTGTGTGTGTGTGTGTGTGTGTGTGTGTGTGTATGTGCGTGCACGCGCGAAGGTAGGGAAGTGTCTCTTCTCAAACAGTTTCCTTGGGACAGGAAGAATGTAAATTCTTACAGTGGTAAGAACTGAAATCTGAGACGTCTAGCAGTGGATTTGGAATGGCTCTGGGCAGTCAGAATAGCCCTGCCATGACACTTGGTTTGTATGTTTTGATATGTGTTAGTTGAAAGTCATAGTTAGGCTGGAGATACCAAACAAAGTCCCAAGAGTGCAGGGAAGGGGCCTCCAGGGAAGGCTGCAGAGATAAATCCCCTAGCTGAGTCATTTAAGGATCCAGGGGGACTAGACAAAGACTTTGTTAGAGGAAGGGAACCAATGCTTTAGACAGGTGGGATTCTGTGGAGAAAGGAGACCATGACTCTATCATTATTCTGTTTGTCTCATTGGTCACTGGTCTAAATTTCTAGCCTTCCCTCTTCATATGCTTGCCCATGCTACTATACACCTTTTACCTGTCTGCTCTGCACCCAGAGGTAGCAGTTCAGTTCTGAGGCTCATCCATAGATTTTCCTTTATGCTCTTCTCTTCTTGCCTCACCCCTCACCAAAGCACAGACTGTGATCACAGCAGGATGTGAGTGACAGAGCTTTTCTCTCTGGTATCCAATAATCATATTGGATTGGGGATGAGGAAAGCTGCTCTCACTGGCCACCTAACCTAAGCCTGACTAAGTTCAAGTCAACTTATTGCATCAGATGAAAAAATGAAGTAAGGCAGCCATGTTATAATAGAATCAATGGAGAAAGTATGCAAGCAAATTAGAATCAAGTCTAGAAACAATAAAGTGAGCCATGCAACAAAACAGTCCCATGGTTTGCATATAATAGAGACGAGACAGAAATGCTTAGCAGCTTAAATGAGTTTGCAACATGAGTTTTCCCTTTACACACACACTTAGATGCCCAGGGAGTATCTGGCTGTATGGTTTACAAAAGGCCTGATCCAACCAGCTACTGTCAAGTGGCATCTCTACTCGATGGTCTCACAACGCCTTCCCATGGTCTTTGGTAGGAAGATGGCAACTCTGGCTTTATAAAGTGTCTCCTCCAGTGACATATTAAAAAATCTCTTTTCTACCAGGCGTTTAGAGAAGAAATTGCACCAATCAACTTGAAAGTTAAAACAATGAATGATCTGTCCAGTCAGCTGTCTCCGCTTGACCTGCATCCATCTCTAAAGATGTCTCGCCAGCTGGATGACCTTAATATGCGATGGAAACTTCTACAGGTACCAGCTTAGCCCTGTGAGAAATGCTATCTAACAACTGCATAAAGAATAAGGAAAGGGAATGGAAATGTCAGGAAGCTGTGCAGTTGTTGATTTGCATTTAGTTTCCTAGTGTACCAGCTCTTTGCATTTTTTTTTTAACTATGGAGAACATTCTGTAGGATGTGCACAGACAGAAGCCCTTGGATGGTCTTTATAACCTACCTGACTTTTAATCACTTCTCTCCCTTTACTCGATGTAGTATTTGATAAGTATTTACGTATTTGATAATGAATTTAGCAAGCATGACATCAGGTATTTGTCTTTCTATATCTTAAATCTAAGGGCATCATTTATTTATGAGTATGGATTTTTAGCATAATTTGTATATAATTTCTATATGATACTTGTAGAAATTTATACAAAATACATTGAGTTGTAGTAATTGGAACCTATAGTTTGCCACAGAAACATTTATCCTATGGTGGCTTGTAAAGGAGTAATTTTCTTACCTTTATTATGTATTTGTTTTCTTTTGGAAGGTTACAAAGCTTTTGTCCTTTCTCTTCACATTGCTCACTGTTCAAGGCCTTTCTATATCTTTATAGAAAGCATTAAATTCTATATGGACCTTAGTTCCTAGAAATGACCTTCCCAAAGGAAGTTGTTTCAGCGGCCCACATGTTGTAGACTCCAGACTTGGAGACCTTACTTGTAGAGTCCAGACTTATAGACCTTACTTGTAGATCTTACTTGTAGACTCTGGACTTGTAGACCTTACTTGTAGATCCTACTTGTAGACTCCAGACTTGTAGACCTTACTTGTAGACTTCACACTTGTAGACCTTACTTGTAGACTCTGGACTCGTAGACCTTACTTGTAGACTCTGGACTTGTAGACTCTGGACTTGTAGGCCTTACTTGTAGACTCCAGACTTGTAGACCTTACTTGTAGACTCCAGATTTAACTGAGCCAGGACTCACAAGTGTTCTCAGGTGTGAGCATTGGCTGACTACTGTCCATGTCAGGCAGGAGTTCATGGTACAAAGGATCTGTGACACATTCATTATCCACCTGCTAGGAATCTGAACAGTTATGCCTTTCTGCTGAAAATTAGCAGGAGATGATATGACAGTCAATAATTCCAATTTCTCTAAAATATGACACCTAATAAGACAAACGTGCAATTTTGTTTTATTTTAAAAGTATGATATATTTTATGTTAGAATATGTTTCTTGTATTAGTTCACACATCAAAATGCCTAAGGAGGTCACTGAGATGGCTTAGTAGGTAAATGCATTTGCTGACAAACTGGAGTTTGCTACCAGTAACCCACATGGTAGAAGGAAAGAACCAACTCCTACAAGTTGCATCATGACACCTGTGCCCCACACTCACTACTGAATAGTTTTTAAATTAATGGTACTTAATTCCTTAATGAGATTGAAGATGCAAGATATAAATATTCAGTATTTGACAGTCTTTCCTATCATTGTGAAGAATGTTGATAATCTGGGATTTGTTGGGCAAAGCATATTAAATTTGTAAGTACTCAGAGAAATGTTTGAACTTCATCCTTTTTTCTTCTGCTCCATTCCTCTGCATCATTATCTTTCATTATACTCATTTAAAGATTGTTCTGGTCTTTCTTGATTTCCTTTCTGCTTTGCCTGTTACCACCATCTCTAAAGACGTCAGACAACATGTTCTATTTGAAGGGAAGTATTTATTCTTCCATCCTTATCTTTGATACTGGTAGCTGCCAGAGTTCAAATATCAGTCATGGATAAGGAAAAAAAGAAATCCACCCTAGCAGACAGTGCTGTTAAATTTCAGGAATAGCAGCTCACTTGCTCATAAAATATGACATTTGAGTATTTGTCATAATAAATAAAGTGTATTCTGATGCAATTTAATGTAGCTAACCAGGAGAAACCTGAGCTGCCCAGTGAGCTAGACAAATACAAGTTTTATTGACAGGTAGCTGAAAATGAAATTGTCCATCCAAATGGAACAGCTCCCCAACACTTCAGGGACACGTAACAGGAGGAAGGAAATGGTGATGCCAGAAGGCTGTATGCAGTTGCTGTTGGTTTGCATTGTTTCGTAGTGTTGTAGCTGTGTTTTGTAATGTGGGGCACACTAACCATAGAATGTGTGCTATAGAAGGTAGTAATGTACTGGGATATGCTGGATACGCATCGTACCTACAAGAGGGATGTTCAGGGACTCCTCTTTCTTTTGGTAGCGATCATCAGATGCAAACTCATAGGAAAATCAGAAGGCGTTTCACACTCGTCTTCCCATTTTCTATCTCTCTATCTACCTATTAATATTTCTATCATCTGTCTAACTGCCTGTCTCCCCATCTATCCATCTGTTTATGTCTTTTCCTTGGGGTACTCTAAGCTTCAGTTTTCACTCACTCTCTGGCTTTTTTTACCATCCTTCTTACAAATGAGAGATGAGTATGGACTCACCCCATTGCCACATCTTAACCTAAGCTGCCTTGGAAGCATGCTTCCTGAGGGGAAGTAAAATAGAACAGTTTGAAAGCGTAGGTCTGGCCCCAGAAGGCCAAGGTAGGAATATTCAAGTTGTTTTGACTAGTTGTGTCTTCAGAAACTTCCTTGTGTCTGTTTCTTCATCTGTAAACTTATAACTGTAATAATACTTAGCTAATGAGGTTATTTATAGATTTAAAGTTCATATAAATAGTTTAGAAGTGGCTCTGGCTTTCTTTAACATTATTTAATGTCAGAAGTTGGTTTTCATACTACTACATTAATAAGAAAGGAAAAGGATTCTGCCCAAACAGCAATGTATCGATTGAGCAGCAGTATCACTTAATGTAGTAATTAAACCAAGGATATTATGAAAATGGTTGTTTTGAAGTCAATAATTTCATCTGCCTTGTGCATGTGTGCAGGTTTCTGTGGACGATCGCCTTAAACAGCTCCAGGAAGCCCACAGAGATTTTGGGCCATCTTCTCAACACTTTCTGTCTAGTAAGTATGCATAAATTTGAGATCTTGTTAATTGAAAATATTAGCAAATTCCTTCAGTTCTGCCCAAGAAGCTACATTCTTTGATATAACTATAATTAGAATAAATACATGTTTAAGAGAAGATAATTCATGAAATATTACTTACTGCTTATGTAATGCAGTATGCAAATTGGTTTGTCTTTAGATATATTTTCTCATTTAAACACTGGTTATGATAACTAATGTAGTATAATATCATTGCTTTATTAGGCAAAGGTTATGAACTTTTCACACCAAAAATTTAGGCTTAAAGATTTTGAATTAGTTTTTCTCCATTCACAAAATAGTATAGTGTTTTTTTTTTAAAGCCGCATGTGCATTTAAAATTTCTAACTATACAAAATGTTGCAGATTGAGTGTTGTACATAGAGTTAATGGAACATCCTTCAACTGGAATTTTTAATTTTTGTGCACTTCATGCGGACTTAAATAAATAATTTTGAACCCTGTCTGATTTATCATTCACTGCTAAGGATATTTAAAAATGTTGAATTTTAAAACTCCCAGATTGAGCATAAATGTTAATTCTGTCTTTTACCAGACCTGAGGATTTTTTTAAAGTTAATTTCTTGGTCTTTGCATACCTATTTACTCAGATGGCCTCGAGAATTAAATGCAAAAGTCTATCAAGCTATACAAAGCAGCCAACCCACAGCTTGGCACAGATGCTTTCAGCACATATTAATGCCTTTCCTTTCGTTTCAAACAGCAAGTCCATGGAAGAAAGCAAGTTGTGTAATTTAATTCCATTTCAATAAATCTTAAGCTCAAGGCCAAGAGTGTTTCTCAGTTATGGCAACTTTATTTCATCTAGAACCATAGAGAAAGATGATGTGGAAGTCCATGTATCCTAAGTTAATGCCATTGGTATTTTGTCTTCTTTTGTTTTTGTTTTTGTTTTTGGTCACTGTGACAAAACTGGGAACCTGAATCAAAGGTCAGGCTTTACTTTCCTATTCTTGAGAAGTTTAATTAATCATTTCCTGTCCCCTGCCTCTGACATACCCATTTTCACTTCCTAAACTGAGTCTGGAGGTATTTGCCTCTAAATAATGTATAGCCCTTTCTAGTGGGTAAGGATGGATTTTTTTAAAAATATTTAACAAATGGATGTCATTATTGTGGAAATAAATAGGCTTTTATTATACTCATTAGATAGTAAGTATTATTTCTAAATCCTATAGAATAAACCAAGACTAAATTAAATAGGAATTTATAAATAATTGAGATTTTCTTTATAGTTCAAATGATCAGTTATCTGTTAATGTTGATGAAGTCCTAACTTTTTACCTGGCAACCTCTCCCATGGAAATCTAGTTCATGTTCCCTAAGACATGAAGTGTTGTAGAATTGGCACAGACATTGTGGTGCTCAACCACACAGCTTTTCAGTGTTTAGCAACTGACAGTCCAGGAAGCTTGGTTATTCGAATCAATAATTATTAAATACATGAAAAAGTGTGAGCAAAGTTCCCGTCAGTACATTTAATAATTCTTCTCCCTTGCTACTTAGAGTCTTCGGCTTGATTGTGTTCCTTGGCCTTTATCCATGGTTATTAAAGAAGCCCGTTCCATGAGGCACATAATAAAACCTGACCTATTAGCCTGTTGCCAACACTGAAATGAGGTTGACTCTCATGAGAAATTAGTGTGCCTGATTCCTCGTTTCCATGTCCATTTGTGAACTTCCGTGGACACAGAAGAATGAGGGCTGGCCTTTCATCAAGGCAGGCACAAATGTTAAGGAGACAGTTTACTGAATTAATGTTTGGAAATGTGTTTGCGTCCGAACTGTACCACTGATTCACTAGGTATACTTAGGAGTGCTATTTTTATTCTGTATACTTAGCTTCTTCTCTATCAAATTCAATGTCAATGTGTGGATCTTGCTGCTTTTTTAAAAATAAAATGTGGATTTGGAAAGCTTGGCAAAGTTTAGAATGTTACAGATTTGTAAGGTATCAATGTGCCAAGAAATTAAGAAAACAAAATGGTGACAAATGTCTACGTGACAGTCTAGTGATACTTGCAAAATTTCTTTCCAGTTTACCTGGTAGCTTGCTTAGCAAAATTCCTCTAGCTCTAAATTCATGTGGGCTACTCACCCTAAATAAGTTTTTAAATCATCTACTTACTAAGACAGTAATGTGTTTTTACAAGTAATCAGTAAACAGAACTGTGAAAACTGAAGTATTTCCATTAAAAACCAGAGCATCTCAACCATAGTGATTCCTACTACAAACATGGAAAATTGTTTTCTGTGTCTTGCAGATGAAAAGAAGTGTCTAATATTCTTCTTAGATAATCGGCTTGGCTCATAAATACCCTTGCCCATTTTTATGTTAAATTTTCTTTCTAAAGACTTCTTATAATTAAATTTGAGTGCCATCTGTTCTTAATAGCTGTGCCTGTGACTATGGCACAAAGCGATGAGTATTATTAGTGATCTAGAAATTCAGTCTTGAGAATTATGGCTTTTAATCTGAATACACAATGTGTAGGGGCACAGCTTGCAGATGGCGCCGAGTTCTGTGTTGTAACGGTTGTGAACAGTCACCTGAGTTTGTGGAAGTCTTTCCATCAACAGGTTCCGACAGAATCGCCCCTGGCGGGTGAGTCTCGGTTCTTTTCTTCACTTCACACGAATCTGAATCTTTAAAGCTGTTCTGCCTGACCTCGTGGTTTTCCTAATTGCAGGAATCCAGCTTAGACAGAGCAGGTCTCTCAAGAGCTGCGCTGAAGTGTGTTCAGTTGTTTTGCATTAAGGTGTAAGTAAGGCTTGCTGCTTCCAGTAACTTCCTTTTGTTTCCTCAGCTTCGGTCCAGCTGCCCTGGCAAAGGTCCATTTCGCATAATAAAGTGCCCTATTACATCAAGTAAGTTGACTTCGCTTCTCCTTTAGGTACTAAGAAAGTAAAATTTTACCAAATAACTTAGGAACTCTCCCTCCCCTGTAACTTGTTTTTTTTGTTTTGTTTTGTTGGGTTTTTTGGGTTTTTGTTTTGTTTTTTGTTTTTTTGTTTTTTTGTTGTTGTTGTTTTGAGTGAGATAAGGTCTCACTATGTAGTCCTGACTGGTCTGGAATTCATTATGTAGGCCAGACTGGCTTTGAACTCAGGGAGATTAACCCAGCCTCTGCCTCCCAAGTGCTGGAATTAAAGATGTGTATCACCAAACCCAGCTCCTGTACTTTTAAAAACAGAATTTAATCCTCTTACCTAGAGGAAGCTATTTGTAATTATTGTTGGGAAGAAATGAGTTTCAAAATCAGAGAGTTGTCATCCGTTAGGTTTTCCTGGTCTTAGGGAAACTGAGTTACTATTTTACCACAATTATCAACCTCTTCACCTCCCTCTTCCACCTTGGCATCACCATAAGGTTGTTGTTGTTGTTTTCAGCCTACTTTCTCTTTTCTGTTTCTTCTTATGTGACATTTTCTGAGTCTTGTCTAGTTTACCCACCATCCCAGGATGCTGATCCTTGGCTTACTCTGTACTTTGTCACAGAGCGGGATGATGAAGTACTACTATTATCCCTAGAAGTGTAAGTTAGTGAGGCAGTTGATTTACAATGCAATCTAGCACTAAGCATTGTCATCGACCCTATTATGTGTAAGGAGAACTAGGTCGTAATTCTGAGAGTGCACACCAAGTATCCAAAGACAGCTATGGTTCACATTAGCTGTGTGGCCTTGGGCATGATGAATAAAAATATCTTTGCCAAGTTTTCTTTGTATTATTCTGAAACAAAGTGTGATCTCTTGAAACCCTATGCCAATTTTAATTGACCTGACCTGTCTGATCTTTCTTTTGGAAAAGTTTGTGAAGACAATATTAATGGACTAGTACTTCTTAATGTGCCTTTCCTTCTATCCTAAAATCCATCCTAATTTTTTGTTTGTTTGTTTTTTTGTTTTTCAAGCCAGGGTTTCTCTGTGTAGCTTTGCGCCTTTCCTGGCTATTGCTCTGTAGACCAGGCTGGCCTCAAACTCACAGAGATCCGCCTGCCTCTGCCTCCCCAGTGCTGGGATTAAAGGCGTGCACCACCACCGCCTGGCTCCATCCTCATTTTAAAAACAAGCTTGATTGTCATCATCTATAAAAATATATTAAACAATATGTGCAACATTGCTTTGTGAGAATCTAACTCCTTTGTTCATGGACAGCATATGGTATATTGAGTTGTGATGAATTCAAGAATGACGCATCAAAGCAGTTGATGAGTAAATAATTTCTACAGGCACGGATGGAAAGGAGTCTGAGGCTGGGTGAAATGACTTGTCTTTACTGAAAGTACTTGTGGTCATCTATTTCAAATTTAAAACTTTCTTTGATGTTTTATGGTTTTTATTCCAACTAATAATAACTAGAGCAATAGTGTTTGAGTTAGTTTGGGTAAATATTGACTTGAACCAAATAATAGGGCTATAGTTATAACTCTGAGACAGAATAAGCTCTCTCTTTAATGATGTCCAATACTAAAGCCCCTGGAACACAGAATATACTAGGTGGCTTAGCCGGGTAGTCTCCAGATTGTAGACTGCCATAGGCAGATTATTCTGATAGAGTCAGTGAAAACATGGGGACTTTTAAACAGGAAAAGAGCAGCAGAAGAGAGGCCAGACTTAGGGAATTACAGATGTGACATTGAAGATGGAAAAAGAGAAATGTAGTCCTGGGAATAAAGACAGCCTCAAGAGGCTGGAAAAGGAAGGGAGTGAGGTCCTTGTAGACCCCCCAGAGAGGAACACATCCATGCCAGACTCGATGCCAGTCTTTGGAAGTTTTTATGTGGTAGCATTAGAAAGTGAGTATATATACAGTTCCAAGTCTTAGAATTCTATAAAGATTGGTTAGAGTTAATTAATGGATTGGAGACCTCTATAATCAGATTTTTTAAAAAAAATATGCAATCTTGATCTAGTATAAAGGAGTTGTTTTCGCTAGATAAAGATAATAGGAAATCTCTTACTCAGTAATGCTTATTTATACACTGATTTTCTGTTTTTGATTTCGGTGTATGTTGGGGGCAGAGGGACTTCTATAGCGCCTCTTTAATATACATACTTCCATTAGCTGAAGAATTTCTGTTTTTCCACATCACTTATAGATGCCCAGGGATTAACTAGCGGTTAGACTTCCTCTAACCCCTAGAGTTTATGTTGGGAGCCTGTAGAAGAAAGTTTTTGCTCAGACTGTCAGTTTTTATGGAGAGAAAACCGTGTGGGAGAAAAGTTAGTTTATCTGATGTCTTGTTGCTTGGTCATAACCAATGCTGGAAAAATAATATAAAACACAGTGATAGAAATTCTTTAATGATGTTGTTTATGGGTAAACCTGCTTATCATGTCTTCCATATCTTTAGTAAGTATCAGAATTTTTTTTTTTTAGTAATTATTTGACAGTCTCACACATGCATAAAATGCATTCTAGCCATGTCATTTCCATATTCTCTCTTCCCCTCTTCCAACCTCCATAAATCCCCTTCTACCACCAGGTCCCCATCTTACTTTTAGGTGTAAAACAAATTGCTAAATGGTCTTATTATTAAAAAACCCAGAGCCAGATATTGGTGTGAAAACCTGAGAGATCAGAGGAATAGTAAAAGCCACAGCCAACCTCACCTCACCGACACCTCAGTCTCCAAAGAGACCTACTTCCCGTATACCCTCACCTATATGCCTTTCTGTTCTGCCATCTCATTTCCTCTCTCCGCCCAGCTATATCACTTTCTCCTCCTGCCCAGCTCTGTCACTTCCTGTTTGTCTGTACAGACCTCCAGACCTTTATGGTTAACTAGTGTTGGAATTAAAGTTATGTACCACCATACCTGACTCTGTTCCTAGTGTGGCCTTGAACTCACAGAGTTCCAGACGGATCTCTGCCTTCCAAGTGATAGGATTAAAGGCTTGTGCTACCATTGCCTGGCCTCTATGTTTACTGTGGTGGCTGACTTTTTCCTCTGATCCTCAGATAAACTTTATTAGGGTGCACAATATTTTGGGGGACACCATACATCACCACAGTTAGTCTTTTGTTTTTGTTTGTACTTTGTGACTCAGGTCCTCCTTTTTGAGCATGGGTCTGTAACTGTCCACTAGAGAATGGCTCATTTTCTTAAATGCATATAGATTTAGTGTTAAATGTCATTTAAGGTTTTCACAATTTAGAGCAAATTCTCCTGGTTTTATGAAACTCATTTAACTGACATTTTTACATTACTCTGTTATGCAACTTTCTAGTTTATTTCCCCATAGAAAAGGAACATTAAACTTGGGAGGTAGAGTTAGAGAGCCAGTATTTCACATGGAGAATTGTTATGAAAACAAAATTTAATCCTCAGATAAATTCATAAGCTAGTAAATGATAAATGAAAAGGCTTTTAACGTGTACTTTCCTTTGCATGCCCATACAAATAAGTAGAAGAAAAATGTTAAAAACCTATTTAGCATTATTGTCACACTATTAGAATTTCCTGGGGCAAATTGAGTGAATTAATTTAGCCAACAGAAAATAGTATTCAAGTGGAAATTTTAAGTTTGCATTTTAATACATGTATTGCTAGAGTACAGCAAGAGAATTTGAAAGGAGAGGTCAAATTATTTATAGTTTATATCTTAGTTGTATAGGTTAATTAAAATATATATTATGCACATCAAGATGGTTCTTTATTAACATTTTGAAGTGCACTGTAGTGAGTGACATGTTTTTGAAGAGTCGCAGGATACAGATCTGAAATGTAAGAACTTGTCTATGTGGCATGAATCTTTGTTAATGCCCGTGTTAGTCAGGTTTCTGTTGCAGTAACAAATGCCTTCGATGAAGGAAATAAGCTCACAAAGAAAAACAGGTTAAATAAAAAGGAAGAGCTGTGGAGCCCAGTCCCAACGGAGACATCTACAAATACTCCCTCACCTGAGGCTCAGAGAACATTGCAGAAGAGGGGGTGGAAAGATTGTAAGAGCCAGGGCATCAGGGAGTTTGTTGTGAGATTATGTCTCCTAGCAACGTTAGAAGGTCCACGCAGCATGTCTTACCAACATGTCTGCCCAAACACGAGCTGAACAAGGACGGCACCAATGGGCATGCCAAACTGGATGGGGAAAAAATCCACATTGCTTCAGTCCTACACAAAGAACTACAGGCAACTGAGGGAAGCTGGGAGCGGGAGACATGATCCTCTTAGGGGAAGAACATACATGCCAGTTGGTTGTCCAGTGCCAAACCATCAGCCCTGAAAACATGCATACAAGTAATGTTATATGGACTTGGCAGCTTATATTTAGGACTGTATGTGTATGTGTATGCATACATACATATATGATTCATGCAATAACAAATAGTAAAAAAGAGGTCATGAATTTGAAGGAGAATGGGGAGGTGTACATGAGAGGTTTTGGAGGGAGAAATGTAAACATAATCTCATAAATAAAAAGAAAATAGATATATGTCTTAGTTAAGGTTTTTATTGCTGTGAATAAACACCATGACCACAGCAACTCTTACACGATAAACATTTAACTGGGGCTGACTTACAGTTCAGAAGTTAGTCGATTATTGCCATGGTAGAAGGCATTGATGGCATACAGGCAGACATGGTGCTGGAGAAGGAGCTGAGTTCTACATCTAGATTGGCAGGCTACAGGAAAACCGAATGAGCCCCTGGACCTTGTTTGAGTTTCTGAAACCTCAAAGCCCACACCTAGTGACAAACTTCCTCCGACAAGGTCACACCTCCTAATAGTGCTACTCCCTGGGAGTCTATGGGGGCCATTTTCATTGAAATCACCACGGTCCATAAAATGAAAAGATTAAAAAAAAAAAACCAGGAAGAAGGAGAAGAAAACCAGGTTATTTTTGGCTTACAGTTCTGGGTG